TCTTGCTCAAGTAAACTACCTTTCTAAGACACATCATATCAAGAGATGGAGTATTAGTGAATCCCAAAAAAGTTGAGGTGGTGATTAGATGGGAGAAATTGACCCCGGTTAAGGAGATTCGTAACTTTCTGAGAATGACAGATTATTACCACAAGTTTGTAGAATAATTTTTCAGTCTAGCCGCTCTTTTGACCTGGCTCAGAAAGAGGAACGTTAAGTTTGAATGAAACGAGAATTGCGAAAGGAGTTTTAGATAACTCAAGAAGCGGTTGACTACCACACTCGTGTTGGCTTTTACCGAGTGGGATAGGTGGATATACAATGTACAGTGATGCTTCCTACCTAGGGTTTGATCATATTTTGATGTAGCATGATAAGGTCATAGTTTATGGGTCCAAGCAATTGAAAAATGAGAAAAATTACCCCACCCATGACTTAAAACTTGCAGTCATAATCCACGCCTTGATGACCTAACGTCACTTCCTATGTAGGGAGACTTTTGAGATTTTTACTGATTATAAGAGCTTGAAGCACATATTCACTCAGAATGATTTAAACATGCGTCAGAGGTGTTGGATAAAGCTCCTCAAGAATTATGATTATAATATTTTATATCACCCGGGCAAAGGCAATGTAATAGCTGATGCGCTCAGCAGAAAAAGTATAGGTATGTTAGCTCACCTAATAGTTTCTGAATGCAAGGTAATAGGGACCACACAACATATACGACTTCAGGACTTGAAGAGAGTTACATATTTGACCCACCTGATTGTCCAACCAGAATTGATCTAGATAATAAAAGAAGCCTAATTAACCGATTCTACCATAAACGCCCTCAAGAAAGATGCAAAACAGGGAGTTCATCATGAATTTTGAGTTTTTATCGATGGATTGCTCAGGTTTCAAGATAGGGTATATGTTCCAGATGACAGTGAACTAAAAATGAACATCATGACAAAGGCTCACAGCTCAAAGTTCGTCATACATCCCTAAAGTACTAAAATATATTAAAGTATGTGGCCCCAAATTTTAGTGCAGCGAGATAAAAAGAGAGGTAACCGACTTTACTTCCAAGTGTTTAATATGTAAACAAGTTAAGGTATAACATTAATGCCCAGACGGAATACTTCAGGTATTACCGATTTCGGAGTAGAAGTGGGAACATATCGTAATGGATTTCATAACAGGCTTACCTAAGGTACGCTCAGGACATGATGTCATTTAGATAATTATCAACCGGCTCACAAAATCTTCTCACTTCTTGGCTATTAAGATGACCGACCCCTTGAACAAGCTAACAAGAATGTATATCTGAGAGATAGTTAGGTTACATAGAGTTCCAGTATCAGTAGTATCCGAAAAAGTTCCCAAGTTCACATCTCGATTTTGGTTTAGTTTTCAGCAAGTCATGAGAATGAAACTGTCTCTTAGCACCGCATTGCACTATCAAATCGATGGACAATCAGAGAGGATGATTTGCATACTAGAGGATATACTCCAAACTTGTGTTTTAGATTTCATGGGCCATTGAGATGATCACCTACCTTTGATAGAGTTCGCCTACAATAACAACTATCAAGCAAGTATCGGCATGGCTTCCTACAAAACATTATATGACTGCCTATGCAGATCGTTGATATGTTGGAAAGAGATGGATGATAGAAAATTGTTCAGCTCAGATATTGTGGAGGAGACTACAGCCAAGATAGTTAAGATCATGAAGCACATCCATACAGCTCAAAGCAGACAAAAAAGTTATGCGAATACCCAAATGAGAGATTTAGAATTTGAGAAAGGTGAGCAAGTGTTTCTTAATGTCACTTCTTTCAAGGGGATTAGTAGGTTTGGCAAGAGAAAAAAATTAATTCCTAGTTCATCGGACTATTCGATATCTTAGACCTGATTGGTGTGACCGCCTACAGACTAGCACTACCTCCAGAGCTATCCAGGGTTCAAAATGTGTTCTACGTATCTATGCTACACAAATACAACTCGGACCCTTCACACATCCTGTTTCACGAGCCCTTTTTCCTACAGGAGGATTTATCCTATGAGGAGGTATCGATTGGTATTGTAGATCATAATAGTAGAGTATTCTGCAACCAAAAAATTCCATTCTTCAAGGTCCAATGGCAGAATCATATGCAGGAAAATGCCACTTGGGAACTGAAATCAAGTTTTAGGGCCCAGTACCCTCAGTTGTTCGACTGAATGGGAGAATGACCAATTTGAAGGACCAAATTTTTCTAAAAGGAGAGAGTTGTAATAGTTAGGACCAAAAAACGACCCAAGATGTTTTTAAATTATTTATTAAAGAAATTATTTAATTTATTTTATTTTTTTAATTAAAATTTTAAAAAATAAATAAATTTAGGATGAGATTGAAAATAATTTTGATAAAAAATAGGGAAAAATTTGAGTTTCGAAATGTATTTTTGAAAGAAAAATTAGAACTGAGGGGGGCAAAAGTGTAAAAAAGAAAAGTTCGACCACGTAGGACCACTCGGTCAGCAGACTCGACAAACCGGAGTACGCCGTGTGGCAAGGCACGCTGATGTGGATGCCACGCGGGAGATCACCTTGGCGATCCGCATGCCCCGTGATCGGACAGCCCAAGATCGATCTCACGTGCTTGGACGGCCTAGATTGGTTTATCCCTTAGGTGTGATTGGACGATTGAGATCAATCGCGATGAACGATCTAGGTTTATTTCCTCCTTATGTGCGATTGGATGGACGAGATCGATTGCGATGAACGGCTCAGATTAATGTGGGCTGGGTATAAAAACTTCGCATCGTACGAAAATCAGAACTCTAACTGTCAGCCTCTACCGAAAAAGAAGAACCAGATGTCGGATAAGGAGGCTGACCGTCGCTGCATCGGAGCCACTACCGACCATCAAAAAAGGTAAAAACTCTCCATACCCGCTCGAAATTCAATTCTGAGCATCCCTGTGGCCAAATTGGAATAAGAGAGATGGTGGGTGAGCCAAAAATCATGGGCAAAGTCCGACAGAGCTGCTGCGGCCAAAGCCCCAAAAATTCATTCGATGAGCCCCTTCCCTATTCTCATTTCACGTTATTTTTTTATTATTGTATTCACCATCCTTTTCTATGCACGTTAGCTGAAGAAAGAACTTCAGCCACGAAGGAGGACCGAAAGAGCCGCCGCACCCAGAGGTTCCCCACCGGTAGGTTCAGTTTTTTGTGATTTCTTGGCTAACTGAGGCCCCTAACATTTTTTTCTATAGGGATACAGCCAAAATCGGCCAAAACTAGCCAAAACTAGTCAAAACTAGCCAAAATCAGTCAGGCCGAGACGAACTGCTGCCATGAGCGACGGTGCCGTGTCGAAACCCTAAAATTTTTCGAAATGGGTTTTGGACACTAATCTTGAATTTTTGGGATATTTTTATATATGTGGCGAGTGTTTTGGATTCCATAGGAAAAATTCAGAAAATTCGGTATCCAATAAGAGGCGTAGTAGACAGCTCGATGTTTTGGAACACCAATTTAGGTAAGGATCTCTCATTCTACTCTCTGTTACGGTAAATTGAGGCTTAACGATGTATAATTTTGTGTTCTTATGAAAAATTAAAAAAATTTAAAAATAATTACATGTTGCCAATAAAATAATGGCTCTATTAGTTATTTTTCTTATTTTTACTAATCTTCAATTTTCCGTATTTATGATTAATGTGATATTCTTACTAAGGTAGTATAGTTTATTTTTTCATTAATAATTTCATATCAAGAGGATTAGAATTCAAATCCTGATCAGTAAAAAAGTTGTTAATAGTTCGTCATCGGACTCCCTTCAAGTACTAATGAAGGTTGTTTTAGAGTATTTTTATATTCGCTCTTTGTTTTATTTCTTTAATTACCGTTTATCTTTCTGAATGAACATTTCCATAGTTTTATCGAGCATTTTAAATTATTATGTAAAGAATGTAAACTCTAACTTTATTAATCGCTTCCGCATTTAATTTATGAATTTATTTTTATTTAAATTCTGGAATTTCACATATAGTGATAATTTGTGCTAAACAAATTGAGGAATGAGTAATGCATAAATAAGAGGGATGCTTTTGACAAATAAGGGTTAGTTTGGAAGCAAATGGATATATATTTGTGTGTGTGTGTAGGATGTGGGTGTGCGTGTAAAGAAAATCCAAGCACATGCACATATATATACTTGTGTATTGGATAACATAAAATTCACCAAATAAAAATTTATGTTTTGCATACCTGATAATGTTAATAAGATGAACTCATAAGACAAACAATTGTCAAAGTTCTTCGTATAACCCAAAACTTACTTCAAGGACTAAGGCAACTAATTTACATCATACGTTGATCCTACCACATGAAACCTACATTCCCAATTGTATTATAACAAAAAGACACTAGAATGAAATTGATACGCAAAAGAATATGACCTTTAAAGGACAAACAAAACTTATCTAACTCTTACAGTTAATCTGAAATTAATTATTTTATGTTACTATGAAAATAGGATTTTTCAAGATACTAAAGTTCGAAATTCTTACTCATTTTAAATTTTTTTTTTTCAAAAAAAGTATCTTTCAATATTCTAAAATCTAATTTGTTTTACTAAAATCTAAAGTTAACCATCAATCTCAAGAAATAACTTTGAATAACATGGCTGTATGGCTTTAAAAAAAGAGTCATTTTAAGGTTGAAAATGGCATATTATCCACTTTCCTTTTTTTTATTTTTTATTTTTTCAATTGTGACACAGTTATAGTGCCAAATCTAGCTCGGCATACATGAATTGCAGTTTTAACGAAGAAAGAGACTCTCTATGCTTTGAAGGTTGCAAATGGATAAGAAACGGTGATAGTAACTTTTGCGCGATTCATATTTTCTTCGAAATTCATGATTGAATAGTTGCTACGTCACTTTTTCTACAAGAAATTGCAAACTCGCGGTAGACTATGCGTTTCTAAATGTTTCTATTGTAAGGTTACCTTACGATAATTGTGAATGTGTTACCTCTTCCATAAAATGTGTGTATTGCAACTGAAAATAAAAAATCTCTCTCTCCTACCACATACCACCTTCTCTTGATGTTTTATCAAAATCTTTTTTATATCAGGGTCATCATTGCAAAACAAGGGGAAATAGATCTAACGTAGATACACTGGAAAAAAAGATTTTGAGCACATTTCTAGGTCTCATTCAAACAACTATTAGACTGTTACTTCATGTGATCTTGTGCAGTCCAATATTCAGATCCGAAGAAATAGAAATCAGGAGCGGGTGTGAATAATGCCAAACAGCTTTAAAGACACGTTTTTGATGAGCTCTTATTGACTGTGATGGCCTGCGAGCATTGTACCTGATGTCAAACATATGGATCATAGGATCTGCTGAACCAGAGGTGATGTACATACCATCAGGAGACCAAGACTGATTTATCAGAGCTGATTGTGATTCACTGCTCTCTTGCTTCCATCCAAATGAGTGAATTTCTGTTTGTCGTAGTCTGATATCAAACAACCGAAGCTGTTTCTCTGGATACCTGCATAAGTTCAGACTTACTGTTTAGACTTCAAATTTGCAATGAACAAATATCTTGTTTCAGAAGCTAACTAAAATCATGAGTATTCAATTTAAAGTAAGAATCCACTGGATAACAGAGAACACCAAATAAAAATTTATGTTTTGCATAAACTGATAATGTTATTAAGTCGAACCCATAAGACAAACAATCGTCGAAGTTGTTCTTATAACCCAAAACTTACTTCATAGACTAGGGCAACTAATTTACATCATATTTTCTTTTTTGAAATAAAAGTGAAAAGATGTATAAATGAGACGGTGCCAAGGGGCGCAACCTATGTGCAAGAGATAGAAAATAATTTATAGATCTATAAGAATATCTACAATAGATCCAAAATCTTGTAAACTATTACGGTTGTGATCAAAAACAATAAACCCAAAATAATGCAACAATTTATCCTTGATAGTAACAAAATCAGTTTCTTGGCCATTAAAGATTCTGTTGTTTTTTTCTTTCCAAATAACCCAGATGATAGACAGGGGAATAAGCCTGTGGCACTTGTGTTTCATTCTAATTCCCTCCCATGCGAGGAGTTCATCTTTGACAGACCCGGCAATGACCCAGTGAATGCTCAGGAGATTGTAGATCATCATATGTTGATCTTGTCACATGAAACCTACATTCCCAATTGTATTCTGACAGAAAGACACTAGAATGAAATTGATACACGCAAAAAAATGACCTTAAAGACAAACAAAACTTATCTAAGTCTTACTGCTAATATGAAATTAGTTATTTCTTGTTCTAGGAAAACAGAGTTTTTCCAAAATACTAAAACTCGAAATTCTTACTCATTTTAAATTTTTCTTTCAAAAGTGAAACTACAACATCATAATACTTATTTTTCAATATTCTAAAATCTAATTTGCTTTACTGCAATCTAAAGTTAACCATCAATTTCAAGAAATAACATTGAATAACATGGATGTATGGCTTAAAAAAGGGCCATCTTAAGGTTGAAAAGGACATATTACCCATTTTCCTTTTTTTTTTTATTCTAGAAAAAAAGGTTGAAAATGACAAGTTGAAACACAATTGTAGTGCTAAAAACTTGCTTCACATATAATAATTGCACTTTTAATGAAGGAAGAGACTCTCTATTCTTTGAAGTTTGCAAATCGATAAGAAAATGTGGAAGTAATCTTTTTGCGATTTATATTTTGGGTGGACAAAAAGTAATTATTTGTCATATAAGCATGAGCTTTCATATGGGCATAAGGTTTGTTTAAAAAGACCAACCATATCTTCTTTGTTCCTAAGAGTTACCCTGCAGAAATATGGGTTTGATGACTCCGAATCTTTTAGCACGACTTTTTGGAATCAGAAAAAGGGACAAAAATAGATTGACAAGTTAGAAAGAGTATTTTGATGAAGGTAAGCTTAACCTGAGAAAGATACCTCCTCTTCCACCCTGCCACCTCTTTTCCGCACCAAATCTCAGACTCTATGGTCTTTGGGTTTCTCTCCGAATGAAAGAAACAAATACTTTAAGGGGGAAAAAAACCTTATAACCCAAAATTTGAGCAATATCCTCCACTCCCACACAATTCCCATGGAGACCATTTCTGTTTTCCTAGTATCGATCCTCAACCTTGAAAATACCTCAAAACAGACCAATAAGCATCGGACATCAAGAAGAGATGTTCTACTCGACTTACAGAACAATAAAGTCATGCAAAAGCAATAAGTTTCATAACTTGCTCCCAATCACCAATCATTGGTCCAACTTGGCTGATCCCTGAGTCAATTGCTAATGAGATTTGGGCATAGTGAGGTGTTGGTTTGATAAAAGGAAGAAGAAGCTCATTTCTCTCATTCCCTTGGCTATTTTTTGGCTTAGTTGGAAAGAAAGGAAAAAGAACTTTTGAGGATAAAGATCTTTCTTTTCCTAGAGTTAAGGTCCTCTGGATTCAAATTTCGTTGTTTTGTATCTTAAGGACCTTATTGATATTTTGCAGATTTCTAAATTGCCTTTTCTGTATGGTTCAGCTATTTAAAGTCCATTTTTCTATTTTAAAAAGTGGTCTAGTTTTGCTATGAGCCTAGCCTCCCTCTCCCTCCTTAAACAAACCCAACAAGGACTTCCCCCGATTCAACCTACCAACCTCTCTATAAAAGCATCATTTATCGTGGCCACGCTTCCAATAGATACTTCATTTCACTGCTTCGTCTTGTGCTTCACGTGCTTCAGCTTCTCAGTCATTTTGAATTTGGTGAAATCAGTCACATCCCCTCCTCCCAGCAAGACACCACAAGTTGCTTTAAACCATCCACTTTAAGCGACATGTTTTCAGATCTAAAAAGATCTGGACCAAGCAATACCATTCAAGTAAAGACACATTTGGGAAGTAATCAGACATGAACTTAGTAGCAAATTCTTAATCATGCCCAGGGGTAAATCAATGAAACAAGAGGAAACCATAGATTTGTCAATCCTAGAGAAAGCCACCCTTTTCTGGGACCAATATATGTTTCAGAAATATCAAAATTATATTGGGATAAGATTAATGCCTCATTAAATTACTGTACTAGCTTACTGAGTAAATTTACTATTGTACACCAGTAGTATTTGATCCGACTAGTCATGACTGCTATAGCCAATAATTGGCTGCAAACATTCAAGTACAAGGATTAAATTTTAGCACTTCACTGTACCGCACAAAAATTCAGAAACATTTTGCCAGCTTTATGTCATGTTGGACAAGGAGAGAGAAAGCCAGGAAAAGAAGGGAGAACTAAAACAGAGAAGAAGAAAAAAGAAAATAGGAAAATTGAAATATACGCAAAAATAAGCTCAACCTAATGTTTTTTCCTATTCTCTTGATATGTAGCACTTTAAATGCATAACAACCACAATCTAATAAGGGAAACATCAAACATTCCAAATACTAAACAAATAAAAATCATAATTTCTTAAAAGATTTAAAAATAAAAATCATAATTTCTTAAAAGATTTAAAAATAAAAACCAAGTTGGTATATGAAAATATTTTCTATTTTTTTTTCCTAGATTCATGTCTGTTTATAATAAAGCATGTATCATGGTTACTTACTTAGGAAAACAGTGTTTAGAAAATGATGGCGAAAATGTGACATAAGTTAGAAAAGAGTAAAAAGTTGTTGTCATTTTTCTGAAAAATGTTACTATTTATACTCGAACACCACACTTCCACAAACACATATTACCATTCATGTTTCAAGTATGTTTATACATAAATCTAGAAAATAAAAATGATAAAATATATTCATTTACTAAGTAGAGCCAAACTTTCCTAGACAGAATGCTGAGATCTAGTTGTATGACATATATAATTACAGGGACACTAGTACTCAAAGCCCAAAAGGAATACAGTGATAAAAGAGACAGGATAAGAAATCTGAATGGTATGATATAAAGTAGGTGAATAAAAGAATTCAAGAAGATCAGTCACAAAAAAGATGTTTCTTACCCTGTTTGAACCATGAATAGATTGAAATCACAGGGATTTGGCAGCACACTCATGCATTTACTTTCTATTTGATGTTTGAAGTCTGCTCTTCCTAATTGTACATCAAAGCCAAAAATCCTCTTGTCTGCTCCAGCAGATAGCACAATTTGCTTATGCTGCATCCCAGCCACTCCCATAACAGCCGAGGAATGTAGATTCCTATGTAACACCCTAGGCTTCCATGAGTCCTCTGCATCTCTGTCACTCCAAAGTATCACAGCATGATCGCTGCCGCCAGTGATGAAACATGTATTTTCCCAAGGCATGAATATTATGCTGTTGATAATACCCTTAACATGGGGTTTATCCTCTAAGAATGTTACTCGAGCTCTCTGTCCATGCACAAAAATACAAAGTTCAAATCGTCTGAAAATATTAATGTTTATGCCCTGGAACTTGGAAAGTTCAGACAAAAAGTTCATTTATCGCAAAACTAGCTCCACCGTTCAATGGTACTTTTGTTCAGCAAGCTACATTTACAAGTCAGTCTATGCCAGTTGTATTTCATCCCGATGCATGTAATTTAAAATTTTAACAGATATGACAAAGTAACAGTAGCACATGTTTATCTCAATAGTAATTTTTACCATGATCCTTACCCCTTGTGTTTTGTTCAAGTTTAATATTGATATTTGAGAATCTCCAGAATCAGCAGTGTACGCAGCAAAAATGCTGTTTCCTTCTGGGTGCCATGTGATATCTTCTGGCCATCTCCTCTGCTTTGGAGATACACAATCGGTAGTACTAAGCAAAGAGGCACCTGACCTTCAGTTTTGAAAAAAAAAATAATGAATGAATGTAAGAGAAAATGCACATGGACAAAGTATTAACAAATGCCAGTGAGTATTACACAAGGAAAGAATGTCACTATTTCGTGACAGCAACTGAGATCTTCTCTCTCAGTGTAGTCAATAAATTAATTAATTTTTCATATGCTGGTGCAGTTTCATGCTTCAACCTATTAGACGTCCCAAAATGAGAAATAGCAAAGCAGGATACAAGTAACCTTTGTTCTTAAGCACCAACACTCAATGTCAAATATCAAGAGCCTAAGCAGTGCACCTAGTAGCAAATATGTCTAACATGCATGATTGTGTAGTTATATGCTCAATCATGCTAGACAGATAGACTTACCCCCTTGACTGAACTTGCCACAAGTGAACCATTCCATCCAAAGCACTGCAGATAATCCAAGTCATGGCAAAAATTAGATACTTACAGAATTAATCTAGAAATGAGGAAAGAGATTCATGTCATCAGCTGATACAGTATATCTCTGCCATCACTTCTTTCTTGGCCATAATCATTTTTTTTTCTTTCCTTCTATTTCACTTTTGTGAGTCATATGCTGGCATGACTTGTTGACAGAAGATAGGAATTGCTTCGATGTTATGAAAGGATTCCAGTTTTTCATATAATGAAGGATCTTAACTTCCAGTTGTTTAGCATCAAAACATCTATTTGTAACAGCATAATGCACTCCGAACTTAGAAATTAAAATAGTAAAGTACCTGGTCACAAAGAGCTGATTATTAACTGGACACAGAATAAGACTTCTCAACTTTCTCTTATGCTGACTGGAGATATGATTACTTGTATTACAGTGAATTATGCATGGTGAACCACGACTGCGTATCAATGGAATTAATTCCTGATGTTCCTTTTGTTCTGAAAATTGTAACAAAAACCAGCCATATGTAGGCTGCATGATGATAAGAAGTATGTGCAAAATGCAGCATTAAACATGTAATTCTAGACAACAAAGACCAACAACAAGAACAAACAAAGTAACTATAAAGTGTGAATATTACCAAGTTTCCTTTTTGTCCCCTTGTCTCGAATTTCAATAACTTCTGTATCAGGAGTTTTGAAAGATTTTTCCACTTTTATTTTTGCAACAGCATTGATTAAAGTAGAGGGACTGGCTAGCGAGCCAGAATTTGTCAGAGTTTTGCCTCCAGTCACTGCTGATACAGGTTCAGAATTCTTTGGTTTTGCAGCAGGAATCAAAAGTTCTGGCCGAGATGGATGCGACTTCTTCGAAGGACCATCACTGCCATGTACTGGACTGGTTGATCTGCGCTCCTCCTTTACTCTTTTACTCCCATTAGCCACATAGTTTTTGGATGAAATTGCATTATTTTGGCCTCGAAGGCGAGCCAATTTAGATTCTGAATCTCGCAATCTCTTTTCTGCTTCATCAAGCTGCACAAAGTTTCAAAAGAACAATAAGTTTATGGTTAGAGAAGTGAAGAAAGAAAAGAATAGGAAGAAAGAGAAGAGATCCTCCTAGGAAAGAAAAAAGAGAGAAGAAAAGCCAGTTAAAAACCATTGTCCAATCTCTTTGCAAACTAGTCGAAAGATATCTCTAGGAAACCCATGAGCCTTAGCCCAAAGAGCGCCACGATCCTAGGCTTGGTACCTGGTAACAGGGGCTTCTAATGTGTGAAGTCCCGAAGCAAATGAGTTACTTGCTTCCCAGTTTTCCAGACTCGCCGGCAAGAGAATCTTTGATCTTTTAAAGGAAAACTCTGTTTGGATTACTAGTTGATAATTTTATTCATGACAACAAGTGTATTTGTAGGAAAGCTTATTGATTTAGATCCCTATTCCAATTCAAAAATTATAGCCCGGAGCTTATTCCCTAATATAAATCAGAATACTTAATAAAAAATCTTAAAGGATTCTAACTCTTAATGGGTCTTTGAAGAAAATGACTTCCTACCCAACTGTAGACTCTTTTAAGCTAATGCTTTCCATTTTTTGGTCTTCTACGAGTCTTACATTTATACGTTTTTCCAGTAAATTTATTATGTAAAACCAGTTGTATTCTCCTTGAATGACTGGTGGAAGAATCGGTTGCACCAACTCATTCCCATGAAACTTTCTGAAGCAAGAGACAAAAAACTGTGAAGGCAGGTGGTGAAGTCAGGCCATGGAACCAATGCAGTCCAAAACTTGAAAAGCTCCATAAAACCTTGAAGCCATTTTCTAGTCTGGACATCTTGCCCAGGAGAGTCGATGATAGAGGTGGAGACACTGCAGCGCTTTATCATCCACTTGAAAATGAACTTCACAGTGATGAGTATCATAATTTCATAAGTAGCTTGTATGATTAAAAAATACTCTGGTCATCAGTTTTTGGAAGTTCAAAGGTCAAAGGAGCATTAGTGAGTCCAAATGGCATTTTCAATGTTATTTGGATGCGTTTAAATTTGATGATAGCCAAAATGAAGGTCCAAGTTGGAGAAGAATGTGGCTTCATGCAGTTCCTCAAGTAACTCATCAACCAGCGGGATAGGAAAACTCATCTTTAACTATCTTATGGTTCAATGCTTGATAATTGACAAAAAACCTCTATTCCATCCGCTTTATAACTAACAATTCTAAATCAACTAAGATGAGCATGGGAAGCCCAACAACCCTTTAATTTTTGTTGTTCGAGTAATGGTCATTCTAGTAATCACATGGATGGAGATTTCAAGATCATCCTCCCTCTCATTTCTCAATTTCTCCTTATCTATTGCCTTTTTGGCCTCAAATCCAACTAGAACAGCTTTTTATACAAATGCCCAGGGGTAAACAGTTCATCACAGTTAAAACAAATGTCCTTCTTCTTCCTATTTTCCATCTCCTCCCCGCTCATTTTCTTGATGAATGACAGCCTATTGGGTGGATATCTATTGCTGCTGCTCTCTAGTTTCTTGTGTCGCCCCTCCTCTCATAGGGTCTTACCAGACTCATAGCAATGATAACATTGGGTGGTTGCTTTAGTTCAATCAATGTTGATATATTCCTGGAGGTTGCAGATTTGTTCGAGGGTAAAAGCTGATACAAGGGCAGAGAGACGCTAAAAAGCATAGCTGGTAGTAGACAACAGTTCCCTCCAGCTTCAATTTAACTGGTTCTCCTAGTTTATTACTGCGTACTTTTCCCAATCTAAGGTTATAGTGGAATTTAAATTCTTTCAAGAGAGCTCAAACTGGTCATGCACAAGCTTCAACAATCATAATTGAGAATCATCCTCAAATTGAAAAAAAGCTAAGTCCACTTTCTCTTCTTTGGTAATCCTTTGGTCTGTAATGGAGGAAAGTTTAGCTTTGCTACCTGTGGAGTTTACGGGCTTCCTGTCTTTTTTCGATGAGTTAGTTGTGTTGAGGGTCTTCCTTATTGTAGCCAAGAGTTTCTGGCAGAGGCTTTCAACCTAGATGTCAAACCTATGTTGCCCTTCTTCTGCACAGCCATGGTACTCTTCGTGTTGCTTCATGAATATCTCGAATTATTGCTAAATACTTCCGAAATACCCCATGACTGACAGCTTTATAACAATTTGCAGGCTTTGGATCTAGTTAAAGAGTCTTCTAACATGAAGTTCTAAAGCAAACGAGCTACTTTTCCAGCCTTATCAGCCTATAATAAGGCTCCTCTAAGAGAATCTCTTATCCTTTGATACGAACTCTGTTTGATTAATAGTTGATAACTTCATTATGATAACAGGTGTATGTATAGGGAAGCGAACTGATTTAAGTCATTATTACAATTCCAGGAATTATAATAATAGTTTATTCTGATTCCTTGACCAAATCTAAATACTAAATAAAATTCCTAAAGAGTTCTAACTGTTATTGGTTTCTTGAAGAAACTGACTTCCTACCCAACTGAAGACTCTTCTCAGCTAAACTACTTCCCTTTCTTGCGGCTTCCATGGATATGGTACTTAATTTATCATGTAAAGAGTGTAGGATCTCCTCTTTGTGCAGCATAATGGATACACAACAAAAAGCAACCCATCTCTGAGCAGCAGACAAGGTTGAAAACAGTCTCTTAAGAGCCTTGCATTTCTCGCCGCCCACGGCACCCATAATCTTGCAAAACAGCCTCCTGCCAAAGCATCTTACTCCCTTCTTTCTTTCAGAACCACAGATAATAGAGGAGAAATAATTAGCTTTTAATTCTTTATCATGAGTATCAAATAGATCAAGTAATAACAAGAAGAGCTAATTGTATGGGTAACCAATTAACTGGAGAGAGCATCCATATGCTGTGATGCATAGTGGTCCAAACAAACTAGCTAAAGACGGCAACAGATAATATGGTAAGCGCATAAACCTTATTTTCTATAACTTTCCTCCTGCAACAATCGGTAGCAACCTATTGATGCCAATCTCTATTTCTTCTCTCACTTTCTACAGATACAAATCTCTTCCTTCTTGCATAAAACCCATCATACAAAAGATGTAGATTGCTTAATCATGAATATCAATAAATGTTATTTACACCATGTCTCTAGAGTACCCTTAATTATTCTCGTAAAAATAATAATAAGCTATTAATCATTTTTAGGCTATAATCAAGTTTTGGATATGGAGTACGTTTGGAACAAATGAACAATGGAACTCCTTTCGATTCAAAATGGATTCTTATGCTTGAAATAAGCCGTGAACTTATGAAATGTTTTTAAACAATTTAAAAATATTTTTTGCAGAACATTTCTAGGCTAGTGGTATTTTCTTAGTTTTTTTTCCATACATACCCCAGTTCTATATGAAATTTACTTGAAATTGAATTTTCATGTTTGGAACAACTTCAAATAGAAAAACTAAGATATGCAAAATAAATCTAGAATTTTTCTGGAATTCGTTTGTTGCAAATGACATTTCTAGAGATGTTCATTAGTTCCAAAGTTCAAGCTCGAAGTCAAAGTTTACGACCAAAGAGTAATCAATACTGTTATACACTGAACAGGAAACGTTCTTTCCCTTTTGAAGAAATGCACTAAAAAGAAACAATACCCAAATGGCAATAATGCAGGATTAATAACTTTTAACATCCAATTAGCGAATTTTTAATAAAATACCTAGCTAATGATTTCATTAATGATCATAGCTTGAACAGATGCTAACACAATACAAGGGTGCAGGAAAATGAGACGCAAGGTTTCAGACTTCATTTTGATTACCCAGAAAAATAAACCAGACACTAGGCAAAAATTTACATGAACTTCAAAAGAGAAATTAAGTCATACATAATTTTGAGAAAAGTTAAAAGCACGCAAAATATTAGTTATGCCGAGGGAGAAACAAGAAATTTTAAATAAATAAATCAAGGGATTGAGAAATAAACAGTGAAATACTTTTCCTTAATGGAGGAGAGAAGGAGAAGAAAACCTGAGTTTTGTAATAGGAGATACGATACTTGAGATGTTCAACTTCTTTGGTACGGTGCTCAATCAAAGCCAGAAGAGCCTCTTCTTGCTCTTGTCTGCTGGTATCTGATGTGTTCTCGTCTTCTTTGTTGTTGTTATGATTACCATTTGCTTCTTCTTCTTCCTCTACTTTTGGTTTCTTTAGAATTGTTGAAGCTCCGCTCCAGCTCATCCCTCCCCTTCTTCTCCTACGTGCTGTTGGTCACTTTCTCGTTCTGTATTCTTCTTTCTTAGGTTTCCAGTTTCTGCATCTTTTTCTCCGAACATCGATCGGAGAAAAATGTCTTTATGATTAAAATTTAAAAAAATACGGCAATTGTAATTATTATATTATTATTATTATTTACTGTCAAGTTTTATTTTTTTAATTTTTTTATACAAACATAAAATTAATCAATTTCTAAGTTCTAAATAAACCCTTGAGTTTTCTAATACCCCATTTAATTTAATTATAATTTTCAATTACATTTGACTTTTTCTCTAATTACTATCTTAATTCTAATTATTTTTTAAATTTAATTTATTGCTTTTATATACAAAATTTTCTTTTTGGGCTTGATTTTGTTTCCTGTGTGCAGTTATTTTGTTTTTTTACCAGATTCGTTGATGGTTAAATGCACATTGCAGGGCAAAACTTTTAAGCAATTTAATGCTTAACATTTGATTTTGTTGAACTAAAAACAAGTGTTTTCAATTATAGTCAATAATAACAATATATAATCATTACAGTAACTTCAATTCTTAGACATAGAAAAAAACATCTTTGTGCAGAAACTGGAAACCTAAGAAAGATAAAGAAGAATACTGAACGAGAAAGGGAGGAATGAGGAGGAGCAGAGCTTCTTCAACAATTCTGGAGAAACCAAAAGTAGAGGAGGAAGAAGAAGAGAATGCATCAGATACCAGCAGACGGAGAGCAAGAAGAGGCCCTTCTGGCTCTGATTGAGCATCGTACCAAATAAGTTGTACATCTCAAGTATCGAATTGCCTGCTACAAAGCTAAGGTTTTCTTCTCCACTCCTCCATTAAGAAAAAAAAGTATTTCACTGTTATTTTCTCTCAATATTATGATTTATTTATTTTCAAAATAAGTTCTACAAAGATTGGTTGCAAAGATAAAGAAACCATGTTTGCGTTTAGCCTCATTAATGATTGGTGAACCCGCAGATCAATTTACAACTCTTTTGAAAATATTATCTGAATGATTTTAAATACTTTGTACAGTACCTTGTAAATTATTAGGTGTTCTTCTAACGGTTTCAGAGTACCTGCAGAATTATTAACAGTACCTTCTTAGAAAAATGTTTAGTTAATTCCAAATTTTCAAATAGAGAAGAAAGCAAGCTCAAACATAAGCAAACTGCTTTGATAGCCCCAGCAAAAACCAAACCAGTCTGCCAGTGATTCCAAACAATTCAGAAAACATATAGAGGAAGTGAAACAGTCTTCAAGAACAAAGAACAAAGTGGGAATTAAATTTAATTGGTTATCATCAGAATACTTCAAAAATTTTCAGAAACAACAGGACTACTAAGATATGCCAAGTTGCTGCCACAGCAATGGCACCACTAAGACAAGAAGCAGAACCAACGAGGACTAAAAAACCTCTAGATTGAAAATTGAAATTACATAGGAGAATCAAGATACAAAAATCGAAAACAAAACAGAGATCCCTTGGGTCAATGGATAGAGCCCCAGGGAACTTCTGTACATTGCAATGTCGTTTAGTCACGACTATCCAAAATTTTCAAGCCTCAGTTACAACATTCTCTATATTCATAATGAGCCTTGACAGATTTTTTGTAAAAACAACAAAAATTGTGACGCAACCTACTTGGTTTATAGTCATGCATTTTGGATCCCAAAACTTTTTTTCCTCTATAGCCAAAAAGATACGTCAGGCCACCCCTGATATACAGAACTGGGGTGGATATAGTTTTCTGTACTGTAATACAGGTTTTAAAGTTAGTGACTCAAATAAAGCAGATTGCTCAATCAGAGTCCTTTGATGAAGAGTCTGTTCCATTCAGAGTTTCTTCCCCATTTACCGAAACCGAAGAGCTCCCTTGGCCATAGTTCTCCTCATTGCCACCAGTTCGAGGCTTCCCTGACCTCAACCTTATGTTGGTACCCATGGGAAATGGTTCCTGGACAGACAAGAAACAAATAGAAGTCATATTTGTCTTAAGCAACGGGAGGTGCATCACCTTGACAATGCTCTTGGCCACATAATTAAAGAGACACCAAATTAATACAGAACTGATTCCTCTCGGGTGAATACCATAACTCTACAGGGACTGTAAGCTCTAGACTCAAATAATGATCACTAACATGAAGAAACTCAAAAAATAGTATAGGCCATAAGAGTATTTTCAAGCCATTTTTCTGCCACAAGAACAGAAACAAAATCAACAAACTGCTTCAAGGAATGAGCAGAACCAGCATGCAGAAAAATGTGGGAATTTTTTAACCAAGACTTGCATTTGTGGAGAACACTTTGATGTTAGTGCCTGCTGCTGATGTCCGTGAAAGGACCAAATGGACAAAAGAAATGAATGATACGCACAACCAAAACTTTCTAGATAAAAAATATATATAGATGCAATATAGAGCTAATACTTATAAAGTTCTTTACCTACATGAAACACAGTTATAACCATTACGAATGCAACCTTTAATTGATAAGCGGACCAATCCTACCTGATCACCAGCATTTGGACCATCAGTATGAAAGAGAATGGGGCGGCAGCGTTTGTCTTCATTCATCAAGCTCGAATTCTGGAAATGAGCAATCAAAGCCGCCTTTCCCTGAATCCTAGCATATGCAAGAGATGCTACCTTTTCACTATTGAACTTCTCCCATTTTTTGCCATTGAATGCCTGAAAAGTATCTTGGTTTTATTATAACTTTTCGAAAAAATATTTTAGATGTACTAGATAATACAGGTAAGTTCCTTATAAGTAGGATAAACAACAAAAGCTGATAACACAAATTATTAGAGATCATGCTTGTTTCAAACCTTATGGAATGGAATAATCTTTTGAGGATCGGTCATATTGATGAAAGCATAGCCAACATTGCATTTGTTCTGTGGATAACAGTTGAATCGTTAGAATCGAAACACATGTAAGAATAATGCATTCCTTGATGTCCTCTCCCATTCCATAGAGAGGCATGGGATCTCAGTCTATGCATGTTTGAGTATGGGTTCATGTGTGAGTGGGTTGTTATTACTATTGTCCTTCTGAAAATGAAAAGCTGTTTATGTGATTATGTACTTATGGGCGTTTGTGAGAATGGGAAAGATTGAGTTGATCCAGCAACAATCTACTTGCCTTGAAATCTATTGGCAAATATATAAAATCATAAGTTCCTTTACAATGCTCGTCGATTGCAGCCAGAAGCATTTTTGAAGTGTACCTAAAACAATACCATAACAAAATTAGAAAAGAAAACCCAAAAAAAAAAGAAAAAGAATAAAGAAATAACAAACCAAGCTATCAGAAGAGGATAAATTCTTGTGCAACTTGCATGTAAAATTTTATTTGCTATACACCTCCAATTCATCTGTGCTTAAATTTTCCAACAAAATAAGGTCAAAAGAATCACAAATATAAGTGGACAACACCAAATGGTTCAGTATCTCAATATCCTGTAAGGTACATGATACCAAGCACAGAGATATGGAGATGCCCATTAAAGGATACTAGCCAACAAATGAGCTTCTAGACAAGTGCTAATGCATCAAAACATCTATAGGTTAATGGTCATGCATTTATAGGAAAATAAAATACGACTATGTGAAGCTGTCCACATAAGGGAAGGGACATTCTTGGAATTCAAGTAAAAAAGTCCAATGACATGAACACTGCCTAATAAAAGAAATGGGCCCTTAAGGACAAAAGTCAAGGACTCTACTCACTTGTTGGGAATATTCTTAATCATCAGTGTTGTTCTACTATCTTCCCCAAGCAATATCCTGTCAATGTCAAGTTCATATTGTTTTTTGTCAGCATTATTAGCATTTGATTCATTTCTTCGGTGTGAGAGGCTTCTAACTCGTTCATTTGGAGAGTCAAAAGAGGCAGGCATTGAGATCAAAGGGTTCCTCCCTGGGAACAGGTGACACATTTGCTGAGGAGAGCGAAGCACAGCATTTGAGTTAGTAATGTCCACACGATTCCCACTGATATGAGAAAAAATGTTGTGAGAAGCAATTTCCATAGGATGTGATGGAGAACTGCTAGGAAATGCCACGCTTCCATGAGAGCCTAAGTGGAAACTTGAAGTTTCAGGAGACTCTGCAGTATAGGCGTGACGCCTGTCCCAGAAGGGTGGATTTACTGCTGGGGCTGATCCAATGTGGTGGTGTACAGGTGATGCTGCATTCACTATAACCGAAGGTGCTCTTGGAAATGCAGCTATATGTGGAATGCGATGCCCGTGAACTCCGTTGACAACTGATGGTGAATGGGGCCAAATCATGGAACTTGCAGGGTGTTGCTGATGCGAGTTAGAGCCGCTCCACAAGTAGTGGTTTCCTTGAAGAGAACTTCCATTTCCAGAAGACCCAAAAACTGAAGGGGAAAATTTTGTTGATGATAGTCAGTAGGAAACTTCAACATACTCACCAATTGAAATATAAGTTACGAAAATGATTAGTCTAAGTTTTTGTTATATAGAAAATGCAGCATGTGCTCTACTTAAAATCTACCAATACAATGCTAATAACAACTTGAAAGTCCAATGGATTTCGGAAAGGTGTAATAAAGTCAGAAAAAAGAGCACACCAAGAAAATAATGTCCCTTCGTATATTTTGAAAAAAGTGACAAGATAAATATTCATAGATGTTGCCTTAGAAGCATCTCATAATCCATTAGTTTCTTACACAACAAATTGAAAAGATCCTATTAAAGTAACTAGTAAACTACATACTACTAACCTCAAGCTAGAATAGTAATACTCCTTTGATTAATGCTTAGTTACTTTTCCATCATCCTGATTTTAATGAGCATAACCACAAAACAGACAGGCGAAGGGTCCTCTGATTACTTTCCGAGTAAAACTTTATGGGTACTAATGATAGATGTGTAAGAACATGCAGCCCTTAAGCAGTGGATAGTTGGCATCTTGGAACCCTCTAATGATATATTAGATTCTTACATCTCATTGAATCTATAACATTTTAAAAAGCATGGTAGCATAGTAACAAGTGACAACGAAGTGCTGAGGTTATGCTTTTTTTTTTGGAAGGGTTATGCTAAGATCATGCTATAATCATAAAGTCTCTCTATCTTTCTGACTCTTAAAACGACTTAGCATGATTGCAGTGCACTTAAATCAACACAACTTACCCCCTCCATTGAACTCCATTTGCTGTCCATTTGAACCTGTTCCTCGAATGCACCTACTGTCAAGTCCATTCATTTTGGAACCACTACTAACCATCTCTGCAAAAGTCCTTGAGGAATTGTATGGACTACCATTAGCAAAACCATCATGATACTCAGGGAAGGAATGAGGATGAAAATTTGGAATATATTGGTCGCCAAACTTCATTTCATCCAAAGAATGATTCTGCTCTTGCAGGCTAATTGGCTTGGTAATAGCTGCCACTCTTGCTGAAGATGGCAAGTCAATTGGAATGCTAGAACTCTGATGTGGTTCAATAAAAGCATTCACAGGAGATCGAACAGAATTATGCAACAGCGGAATCGATCCCTTATCCATGGAGCTAGATGTAACTATTCCATTGGCAATTTTTGCTGTAAAAGAGGTGCAAGAAAATAAAAGGCAAGCACTTTAAAATGAAAAACTAAAAAGATAAAAGAAAGAAATTGTAAGGTAAAAATCATACCCATGTGTGCTGATGATAAATCATCGAAGGGGTTCTCATAAAGGCTGGTTTCATCTTTTTCATGCTCAGACTGTTGCAAGAAACTGTGAAAAAGAACCAAATCATATATGATATACCTACTACTGACAGAAGGTTGAGAAAATGAGAAACTAGAAGAAAAAAGTGCTAAAAGCACATCAAGTCTTTAAAACCAAAAAAAAAATTAAATTGAAAAGCATTGACAATATATAGCTAACTAAAAACACAATGATACAGATAAAGCTGGAATTTTTTTTTAGGATCGATATGCCAGGAACTATGATGCCACATAACATTCAATTGGTGGCTTGTTGAGATAGAAGACCAAAAGAAGGTGAACATATAAAAGTCCAAATCAATCATGGTAATCAGAATTGTTCAACCAAAAACAGTTGATGGGTAGAAACTGTTACCGTCTGGCACCCCCTGGACAGCTAGGCTCCAGCTTAATCTGCTTTCCTGCAATGTCGCTTCTGTTCAGTGCACAAAGAGCAGCCTCTGCAGCTCTAACATCATAAAACTCTATGAACTTGTGATGACGCTTGTTTGGAGTCTCACGAATCTGTAAACCACATTTGAAAGTACAAAAATTTCAGTTTGCACTTTTCGTTTGCATTGAAGAGAAAAAAAAACAACTACATACTTCCTTAATTTCCCCGTAGACACCAAAAATTTGGTGAAGCTCGTCAATTGAAACAGAAGAATCAAGATTGAAAACCACCAAGGTTCCTTGGTTGATGTCTTTTTCTGATGGATTGTCCTAAACAGGTTTGCAGACCAAAAAAGTATCAAGAAACACGCATCAAATGACTGATAAAAAATCAGACAAAACAAAGCCAGCAACAGCAAAAACCAGAATAGTATCAAATGATATACAATATCATGGGAGTGCAGCTGCACCTTGGGAATAGAATAATGTATGTCAAGTTTCCTCCGCCTCAATGGCTTATTTTGAAGAGCTTTCATTGCATTCCTGGCGGCCCTTATATCATAGTAAGAGATCATAACAAACCCACGATGTTTGCAGGCTGTGTAGAGAGTCCGGATATCTCCATATTGCTGGAAGATCAAAATTTCATTGTCAATGGTTAGCAAAATATCTCATAGCAACTTGCTTGAAAACATTAGCACCGGGAGAGGAGAAACTTCCCATTGCAGATTCACAAGTAAACAAGTGATGCATAAGAGAGAAATATTTACCTCGAATAGAGTCTTCAATTCAGAATCTTCAACATTGCTATTAATATTTCGGACAAAAAGGGTTCTGGAAGGGTGTTCACCATGAGGATGTTCACCAAAAACTGTACCCCCAAGACCACTGGAAACTCCTCCAGCATAATCAGAAATCTTTTGACCTGCAGCCAATCGATCATCTCCTTCTAATTCCATACCACCCCCACTACTGAATAGATCAAAATCCTCCAAGTCATCTCCAATACTAGCATAAGTGTTTTGCCCAACCTCACCAATCACTCCAGAGAACAGATCATCTTCATCAGGAAGGAGATTTCCAATAGTCTGCGCCTCAATTTCTTCCAGAGATTCAAAAGGTTCCTCTTCCTCATGACGGGAAGCAACTGTACTGGTAGGTTGATGAGCTGGAATATCATTCCTTAATAACCTCACTGCGTAAAGATAAGCACATCAGTGCAAAACATGAAGAAACTTGTCCATTACAACAAAACAAAAGATTCAGTGCAAGAACTCCAGAGAGTGAAATTAGAAAACCAAAGCAACACAATAGATGCCGCCATGAATTAGATATTAAAAAAATTGAGGTCCATTTAACGGAAATGACATAATTTTCTTAATCAAATATTTATTAAGATGTTTCAAAAAAAGATAAAAAGAATTGCAGCTTAATACAATCATAAATAATGGACACAAAGCTTACATTTTCTGCCAAATATTTCCGACAAAGAGCTTGAGAACAAACTGCTTTCACACTGGATCCCGTTGATACCATTCTTCCCTTTCAGACTATAAGGTACAGTTTGCATGCACAAACTTGACCACGGATTCACTTGGTGTTCCATAGATCTCCATGAAGTCTTGGATAAATCAGGAATTCCCTCTTCTCCAATGACACTTGGCTTTCCTTTCTGGTCTCTACCTGGATTTAACTGAGTCAGTTCCAGACAATCTGTTGGCTGTGATGCAATTGGTGAAAATTTTTCCAATGGCGATGAGGCGATCAACTTGCTTCCAGCTGTTGGTACCATTCCATCTGTGCCTAAAAGCATTATGATATTTAAAAATGAATATAGCCATAACTGTGGCAGCAAGATCGTGTAAAATCACAAAAAGTACAATACAACCAGTCTTGTATAGAAAAAAACCCAGAAAATAGTGATTCAAAAGATATTAACTTAAGAGGGAACAAATTTTCGAGGGTGTTTCCTTGCTTAAAAGCAACTTATAAGCACCTTACTCAAGTCCATTATTTGGTAATCCAACATGCAGATTACTTACTAGCTGCTTATAGGCAGCTTAAGTACCAAAACAATATACAACTCGCGGACTTTTTGTTTACTACCTTAAAAGTACTTCTTTCCTACCATATTCAATCCTACTACTCTCTTTTGCCAAAATGAGCAAAGAATTATATTTTACAATAAACACCTTTATCCAAATTCATAAATACTTGTTTTCTAAATTAAACACCCTTTCCTGGAGGCACTAACCAGATTTTTGAACACACTCTCAGGAATCCAAATTTCTTTAGCAACACCAAGTATCGTCTTAAATAGAATCAAAAGAAAGGTGCTAATAAACTGTCGGCTGCAAAAGAACAGCAGCATATTCATGTAATGATATTGCAGGATAGCAGGAAATGTAAAACATCCCTCAAAACAGCAGTACAAGAGAATCGGAAAAGGTCACATACAAGAAATAGCAAAAGACCTAAGAATGAAAGCAACTGACAAGAAGAGTAAGCAGCCAGTAGAAAAAGAAATGTTTTTAAGGAAAATGGTGACCTAGGATTCCTCCATTTATGTAACCATCTCCCACATACAACAAGCATTACTTGGGCATTGCATATCTAGGATTAGTAATATAAGAAAGCTTGTATTTTTTTTTATGCCTCCCATTAAATCGAATGTTGATATTCAACCAAGACAGAGATAGGCAGAATTCCACTGTGGTTTTGAAGATTTATATCCCAAATCCAATCCGAACTTGAGACTGTCAGACACCAGATCAAAAAGAATTGTGAAAAATAAACAAATAAATAAACTTATGCAGGTCAGGATACTCCAGAAACTCCAAGAACCAGCTTAGAACAGTTTGAATGAAGGCCCACTGGCAGTAGTTTATTGTTCAGACATTTATTTTAATCCTAAATACCAATCCCATAAAATATAAACTACCAAATTCAAACACATTAAAAATAAAACCTAACAAACTAAAGTTGAAAAATTTAGAAGCAGAATTTGCTTAAAGCAGTTACAAGCACAACCTCAACGTACCCAGAGTCCTGGGCCACTTGTCGAGTTGTTTCCTCATATGCAAATCAACTAATTCTTTGATGCAGGGTGTACATCTAAACAGATTATTAGCTAAAATGAAAGTAGATAGAAAAGAGGGGTTGTAATTTTCACCAATTATGGCTAGTCTCCAAACACCGAAAGTCCAGCAGGGAAACAAAATATATCCGGACAGATCTTTCTGGAGGTACACCTACTACTAACAAAGCAAATTACAAGAACCTCAAAAAAGGTACCAATTTGAACCACTGATAATCACACTGTGGTGATTTTGGGACATAAGAGATTAGATCATCTGGTAAACATGGTAAATTACAGTTTCAGAAGGTCAGGAAACAAATTTCATTTTACAAATAAATTGAATTGGTACACTTCCTAGCAAAAACTACATATTCTTAGGTTAGAATTCTAAGACAGCAATACTAAAACAAATAAATTTCCTTTTATATCTGCTTGCCTTATACCCCACAAACTGACAAATTTTGCTTTAATAACTGGCTGCAGCATATGCCATGTTGAAGTTACCAATGCAAGAACCTTCCTAACAAACTGGGAACAGTTACGACCAGCCAGTTCATTTATAACGTTTACATTCATGCCGCCCTAATGACTGAAGATAACCAGATAAACTCAATCCACTAAATAAATTTTAATGGAACAGGCCGTTCTATCAATTTAATGCACATTGATAATCACTTAAGTAAACTCCAAAAAATCAATTTATGTGTAGGAGGCATTTAAACAAAACAGTTGAGTAGGCAGTGCCGACAAAGTAATGACAAACCGGATGGTACTCACCTTGGTGATCAGGCATGGAATGCAGCTTCCAAAATCCAATTTGCCTCTGCTCAATGATAGATAAAGGGACAAAATCTTTTTAGTTGCAACGGTGTTAGGATGCATACAGTAAAGCAACCCATATTCCTTATATAGCTTGACATTGCC